GGCTATCTAATATCAAATGGACAATCCTGAAAACATATATACAATTAATATTATACTGACTGGGCTGATTATGTAGTTAGGAATATATATCCACACGCATATATGTACCTTAATATACATATACTTCTGTAACAATAATTAATTTAAAAAAAAGCTATGATTTTAAAAGAGACCAAGTAAGAGAACATGAGAGGATGTGTAATAAGAAATAAAATGGGGAAATAATGAAGTAATTATAAAGCAAAACATAAATCAAAAACTATTTTATTTTTGTACAGTAAAGCCTAATCAAAGTGTAGCCTCTAATACTATGGCAGGTATGAGGGACAACTCACAGGTTATTAGACACAACCAAACATCATTAAACAAGGAGAGATGTATTTTTCTTGTTCTGTGTCTTCTGAATTTTGTGGGACCTTGGCATAGCAAGGTTTGGTATATTCCACCGGTGGTGAACTCCTCACAGGCTTTCATTTGGGTAAATATGGATTCTCCTGGGACAGGTCTCAACCTAACAGAACAGGTATTCACTGGATAATTACAACACTGATATCCATACTAACTTTCAAAGGGTGCACAGTTTTAAAACACAGGCTCAATTCCAAAAGCAGAATTCTGTTGAGCTATAAACATATATAAAATGTAATAGAAGGGAAGTACTGGGAATAGATTGGAGAAATGGGCTTTTTTTCCAGAAGTGATCAACTTGAGAGTCATGAGAAGACTCAAGTTTGAAGAAGTGCAGCTGGCAGGATATAGAACAGTGGTTAACACTTTAATACAGTTACTCATGTCATAGGATACAACCATAAAATTATTTTATGATTATGGTTTATTATTATAAAATTATTTCATTGCTACTTTATACTGTAATTTTGTTACTGTTATGAATTCTAATGTAAGTTTCTGATAGGAAGATATCTAATATGCCATCTCCAAACGGTTCAGGACCAACAAGTTGTGAATCGCTTGTCCAGAGTGAGGAAGGGGATGTGTGAAGTGACTGTATTTCAAGTAAAATCATTTTTTTTAAATTTGAGTAATAAAGGCTATCTATTACTAATGAAGTTTACCAATATTATTCATGATTTAAAAATAAAAGCAGGAAGCACATTGCAAAGCATCATATTGGAGAGAAAAAGAAATACTCAAATACTAGAGTGATTCACAAAAAAGACAGATTGATGCCAAACATTAAATGATCATTGGAGCAGAAACATGGATGTCATTGTTCACCCTAATGTAATATGTGTGCAATAAGAGGTGAAATACTTGGTGAAAACATGGTGAAATGTATATTTATCCCCATTTATTAATTCCTAATGCTTTTAACCTATCAAAGTTCCACTTGAAAAAGGCAACATGGAGATGCCATTAACCCTGTGAACCTTAGAGCCTAAGAGATGTAAAAATCGTAGGTTTTCAAAGGGAATGTGCTTTGCTAAGATAGTCAGAAAGCTTCATGCACAAGAAAGTCAGACAGCATTGATGTCTAACAAAGGAGGACACTTGCTTATTAGTATATAGAAAAGGCTAAAGACACATAGAATGGTGATTGAAACAAGCTGGAAGATACTTGGTAAATCTCATGATCAAATATGTAGTATTATCTTGGACACATGATAATCATGAACAGATCATGTAAAATCAGAATGCCTATTTCTTTAAATGATTGAATTTTGTTGATAGTAAACTGTACCTTCTGTAAACTGTGTAGTTTAATATTTATAGTTTTACAGTATTAAATGAGATAGAAAAACTCTACCAAATTGTATAAAGTACTTTATAAAGATTTTCTACTTAATACTTCTTTCAAATGACTGAATCATTGGAATCCAGTCAAAAATACTGATATACATCTATGTATTGGCATTGAAACACCATAACTAAAGAAGTCCATTACTTTGTAAGTGAATGTAAGTAGACGTGAAGAAAATAATCAGGTTTTTCTAATGGTTTAAACTAGTCAGTACGGAGGACATATATCCAAAAATGGCCATCTTTGTCCATCTCAAGATGGAGTATAGGATTTATGGGGTTACAAACAAACAAACAAAAACAGACACATCAAAAAAATATTCATCAAGAATTTGTGAGACAGTTCTTACACAGAAAGAGAAGTCATTTTCCTTGCCTCTGGCAAAAGGGACATATGGCACTTCATTGACTGTGATATCAGGATATCAGCAACAATGCTGGAATCCAGGTCAAGTGAAGGGAAGTAAAAGTACATTATACATCTCAGAACCCACACATGTATTCCTGTCACTTCCCAAACAAGCCTATCTCCTCCTGCACTCTGCTAACTCCCAAAATATTCTAGGATTACTCTCTATCTCTTTATGAAGTCAGTTACTTTACTTGTCTGATCTATCTCCACTTTTCTATCTTAATATTCTTTCTTTTCTCCCAGACAGCTTGGTCACATGAAGTATGTTTTTCTCCCCTCTGATCTGAACTTTTCTAGAATCCTCTGAACATTTTTCATCTTTTATCCATAATAACATTCTTTCCTGTAATCATCTAAGATTTGGTGTTTTTTCCTGTTTTCCAGATCATATAATTGAATATTTAAAATATATCTGTACTTAAGTGATTATTAGTCTGCTAAAAATAAGGAATGCATACAGAGATATGAAATGAATGAAAGTGTCAAAGAAAGCAGCCAATGGTTTTCAATATACACATAAATAAAAGGTATGTAATGTAAAGGTATGTTAAAAGTAGTACCAATTCAGTTTTATGATAACAGAATTGAAAGTAAATAAGCATGTTTGGAAAACAGTTGTCTAATCTGAATCTATACCAAAATATTGAAATTTAGGTTCCAAAGAAAACAAAATATGTCAAAAACAATAAAAGTCTGTTGAAAACCAGAGAGTTTTTGAGATTTTAAGGTTGAAAGCTGACACAAATTTAAAACAAATCCTTGTAGTCAGGATGAGTACCAAAATTAGATGGTATAGAGAATAGTCCTCACTCATAACTTGGTCAGATATGCAAACACCTTTCTCCTTTATAGCTCAGAGCAGACTTCAGGTAATTTTTTTCTTTCTAAATTGTAGTGTGAGTAGTTTTTCATGAATATGGGTTTACATAATCTGAATGAATCGAGACATAATGCTGCCTGAAACCATTAGTGTATCATGAGAATCATAACAGTCATTTAAAAATACCTTTACAGTGGAGTCTGGAATGGAGAATCTTTTACTGGGCACAAATTAAGCTTTTCTCTCCTAGCAGTAAACAAAAATTGCTACAGCAGTTTGTAGACAAACTACTGAAGAGCACACATTCTGTAGTAGAGGGGGAAACCACTGTGATGTCAACATTCCAAGGTTCATGCCATAACTGACAAAGTGACACATGCATTTCACTTCTTTCAAACTGTTGACTTTAAAACAGTGATTCTGAACAATTCTTGAACAACATGTGTTTGGAATAACATTTTCACAATCATATATGTGTGTATGTTTGTATAAAAGATATATGATATAGATGATAGATAGGTGATTGATGTTAGATAGGATAGATACCTATAAGATATGTGCAAAAATAGGAGGAATACTTGTATAAAACATCATGATAGACTAGGGTCAAATAGAGGGGGAGGAGGACCTTCCCTATCAGTGCACTAGGGGAAGGGCATGGGGGAGAGGAGAGGAGGGTGGGATTGGGAGGAGATGAGGGAGGGGACTACAACCGCAATGTAATTTGAATAAATTGTAATAAACGATAATAACAAATATCAAAAAGACAGTAATGTAAAAAAAATCATGAAATTTATATTCATCTCGAAAGGCTAATTCCTAATTCTTTTAACCTGTTAAAGGCACATGTGAAAAAAAGCTTCAGGCAAAACCATTAAGAATGTGAACCTTGGAGTCTAACACATGCAAAAATAATAGCAGACTTTAAAGATGAATGTGCTTTACTGAGATACAGTCAGAAATCTTCATGCACAGAGAAGTCAGAACATTTTAAAGATTGGAGAGGGGTGCACATGCTTATTAGTATATAAATTTTATATATTAATCCTAGAGAAACAAAGAATTGTGACTGAAACATGAGAGATACTCTGTTAAGTTTCCTAATAAAGAAATGTAGTATACCTTGGACATAAAATAATCACGGACAAATCATTCAAAATTAGAATGCCTGTCTTTAACATGATTGTATTTGGTGATAGTAATAATTTTCGCTTTCTCAAAGTGTGTAATTTCATTAATATGTGTAATTATACATTTCTAAATAAGACAGGAAAACTCTACCAAACTATAAAGTTCTTCATAAAGATATTCTGCTGAATAAATATGATTTTTAAAATATGATACATATGAGTATGGGAAATAAAAACACATCAGAAGAAAATTTATATAGTGGCATGAGGTAACTAAACCCATTATTTTTAAAATAGTAGTAATAAACACGTGTGAAGAAAGTAACCAGGCTTTCCTAATAGTATAAACTAGTTAGGTCCCAGGGAGTACAAATATCCAAAAATGACAGTCCTGGACCTGCTCAACATGCATTATAAAAGGAATTCTGAAAGAAACATGCAAAAACCAAACATACAAAAAAAAAAAAAAAAAGGGAAAAAAATAGCATTCATCAAGAATTTCTGAAATAGTCCAGCAAATAAGTCATTTTCCTTGCTCCGACAAAACGGACATATGGCTCTCTATTGACTTATGACTCCTATCATGATATCAACACCTATGGTGACCTCCAGGTTCCTTGAAGGGGATGTAAATGGACTTGTTATACATCTCAAAACATCCATCTAGATCCCTATGCTTTCCCAAACAACCTAATCTCTTTCTGCACTATCCTAATTTCCTAAATAACCTAGAAATACCCTGAATTTTTTTACACTAATTATTTATAAATTTCATACCTTCATCCCAGGCCCCACCCCTTCTCTCCTCACAGTCCCACCACCATTCTCCCCTCCCCTATTACTTCATTCTTTTCAGAGAGACTCATTATATGTACCAACCCACCCTAACATCACATCAGGCAGGACTAAGAGCATCCTCTCTCACTAAGGAAAGGCAAGACAGCCCAGCTAGGGGAAAGGGAACTAAGGGCAAGCAACAGAGTCAGAGACAGTTCTCAGTCCAATTGTTAGGGGACCCATATGTTGACTAAGCCGCACATCTGCTACATATGTGTAGGTGGACCTAGGTTCAGCCTGTGCACTTATGAAAGCACAGTTTGTCTCTGTCTAAGCTATCTCTACTTTTCTCTTAATATTCTTTACTCTCTTCAAGACAGTCTTGGTCATATCAAGTCTGCTACGTTTTTTTTTTCTTCTGTGCTCTGAACTCTTCCAGGTGCCTCTGAACATTTTTCCTCTCTGATCCATAATAAAATCATTCCCTGTAATAACAGAGTGGCTACTATTTTACTGGCTTGTCTACTGTTCCTGCTCATACAGTTTGAATATTTAAAGTATATATTTTATTAATTGAATATTACTATGCCTAAGTCATTTTACTTCATTCAAGGAATATGTACTGACAAACTATAGTTTTTACTTGAGAAGGATTAAAGATCCCTCTGAACTGAACAGTCAAAGAGAGACATCTGCTAATGGTTGTCATCAAACGCATCTGGCAAAAATGTAAAGGTATTTTATAAAATATTGCCAATGCAGTTTCATGATAAAATTGAAATTAAATGAGTATGTCTAGAAAGTTATTCCTATCTAGCAGAATCAATGTTCATATATTGAGAAATATATTGTTGAAACCAGAAGGTTGTTGAATTTGGGGCTGAAATCTGAGCAGTTTCCAACAAAGCTTTGTTGGCATAGTGGATAAACAACTAGATGTAACAGAAAATAATCTCTTATAACTTGGGCATATAGTTTTGAAGATACATGGATATCATTCTCTTGTATAATAACTCAGCATACCTCTCTGTCATGATAACTTTGCTTCTTTGGGGCAATGGTATTGACTATTTCTAACAGGAATAGCTTTTCATAAAATAACTGTTAACTAGATCAGATGTTCTAGAGAAATGAAGACAGAACGTTTCCTGAAATCATTGGTCTAGCATGAAAATCATAATGATCATTTTAAAATACCTTTACAGTGGAGACTGGGATAGAGAAACTTTCACTGGGCACAAAATTTTCCTTTTCTTTCCTGGCACTAACCAAAAATGGCTCAGCAGTTTGTAGACAAACCACTGAAGTGTAAACATTCTGTAGTAGTCGGGGAGAAACCACTGTGATATCAACATTCCAAGGCACAGGCCATAACTGACAAAGTGACACATGCATTTCAAATGCTTCAGAATTTTTACTTTAAGACATTGATTTTGAAATAATTTTGAACCACGTGTTTCAAACAAATAACATTCAAAACTGTGTGTGTATGTGTGTAAGAGCTATATGATACAGATGATAGACTGAAGATAGATGTTAAATAGAAGGATAGATAACTGTAATGATATCAGTGAAACAATAGGAGAAAGTCTTGTATAGGGTTAAATAGAAGGGGAGGATGACCTTCCCTAACAGTGGACTAGGGGAGGGGTGTAAGGGGAGAAGAGGGAAGGAGGATGGGATTGGGAGGTGATAAGGGAGGGGGCCACAGCTGCACTGTAATTTGAATAAATTGTAATAAATGATATTATTAAAAAGACAGTAATGTAAAAAAAAATCATGAAATTTATATTCATCTCTAAGGATTATCAATTCCTAATTCTTTTAACCTGTTAAAGGCCCATGTGAAAATAGGCAACATGCAAAGTCATTAAAACTATGAACCTTGGAGTTTAACACATGAAAAATCATAAAATAATTTAATGATTAATGTGCTTTCCTGAGATACAGTTAGAAAGTTTCATGCACACGGAAGTCAGAAAGCTTTGAAGAGTGGAGTGAACATGCTTATTAGTATACCATAAATTTTATATATTAATCCTAGAGACACAAAGAATTGTAACTGAAACATGGGAGATACTCTGTAAATTTCATAATATGTACTATACCTTGGACATATAATAATCATGGGCAAATCATTCAAAATTAGAATTGTCTGTCTTTACGGTGATTGCATTTGCTGATAATTTTTGACTTCTGCAAAATGTGTAATTTCATTAATACGTGTAATTATACCATTCTCATTAAGATAGCAAAATTCTACCAGACTGTTAGGTTCTTCATAAATATATTCTGCTGAATAATTATGATTTTAAAAATATGACACATTTGAGTATGAGAAATAAAAACACATCAGAAGGAAATCTATATAGTGGCATGCGGTAACTAAACCCATTATTTTTTAAATAGTAGTAATAAATACGTGTGAAGAAAGTAACCAGGCTTTCCTAATAGCATAAACTATTTAGGTCCCAGGTAGTGCAAATATCCAAAAATGACAGTCCTGGACCTGCTCAACACACAGTATCAAAGGAATTCTGGTGATTAGAAAAAACCAAACAAAAAAAACCACACAAACCAAAAACAGCATTCATCCAGAATTAGTGAAATAGTTCTTGTCGAGAGAAATGACCATTTTTTATACTCCGACAAAAGGGACATATGGCTCTCTATTGACCTGTGACTCCTATCAGGATCTCAACACCCATGGTGGCCTCCTGGTCTCCTGAAGGGGGAGTAAATGTACTTGTTATACACCTCAAAACACCCATCTAGATTGTTGTGCCTTCCCACCAGCCTCATCTATTTCTGCACTATCCTAATTTCCTAAATAGTCTAAAAATTACCCTGTCTTTCCTTCCACCAATTAATTTATTAATTTCATATCTTCATCCAGGCCCCCATCCCTTCTCTCCTCACAGTCCCACCACCATTCTCCCCTCCCCCATTACCTCATTCTCTTCAGAGAGACTCATTATGTGTACCAACCCACCCTGACATATCACACACATCAGGCAGAACTAAGAGGATCCTGAGGACAGGCAAGACAGCCCAGCTAGGGGAAAGGGACAGTCAGTGAAAGTTCTCAATTCAACTTTTAGGGGACCCACATGTTGACTAAGCTGCATATCTGCTACATAAGTGTAGGGGGACGTAGGTCCAGCCTGTGCACTTATGAAAGCAAAGTTTGTCTCTGTCTGAGTTATCTCCTACTTTTCTCCATTTCTTCTAGACAGTCTTGGTCATATCAAGTCTGCTTTTTTTCTGTGCTCTGAACTCTTCCAGGTGCCTCTGAACATTTTTCCTCTCTGATCCATAATAAAATTACTCACTGTAATAATGGACCAGCTACTATTTTGCTGGGTTCTCTGCTGTCCCTGCTCAAACACTTTCAATATTTAAAATATATATTTTATTAAGTGAATATAACTATGCCTAAGACATGTTACTTCATTCAAGGAGCCCCGATCCTAAGCTGAACAGCTCCTCCTCATATGATGCGGAGACTCTGGATGGATGACTTCAGGGTGTGGAGAAAGCAGAGCTCTGTCAGCCCTGGAGACCTTGGCTCCCTGCCACACTGCTGCACTCCCTGGCTTCAGTGCCTGCAGTCTCCTTTCCCAAGAGCTCACATCACCTCTGGCTGCACAGGCTCCTTTCTTCCCTCCCTTCCTTTCCTCTCTTTTCTTCCTTCTCTCCTTCCCTCCCTCCCACTTTTTCTTCCCCTCACTGCCTGGCCCTGGCCGGACTGGAACTCTGTATATACCAGGCTACCTCCAACTCATGGAGACCAACCCTCTTCTGACTCCTGGGATTAAAGACATGCGTCCCTAAGTCTGGACCTTTATTTCAAGATTTATGTCATTCTGTCGTTTTGTTTTTCGGAAACTGGGTCTCTCTATGTAGTCCTGGCTGTCCTGGCCTCACTCTGTAGACCAGGCTGGCCGTGAACTCAGATGCCCCCGCCTCCGCGAACACTGGGATCACAAGCGTGCTAACCACACCTGGCTAATTACGTATGTATGTATGTAGGCATGTATGTACGTATGTACATACGTACGTACGTTTGAATGCACCACGTGTGTCTGATGTCTGTGGATGATAGAACATCAGATTCCGTGGACCTGGAGTGACATTTGATTGTGAGCTGCCAAGAAGGTGTCGGGAACCACATCCTTAGTCCTAGCAGAGTGCTCTTAACTGCTAAGCCATCGCTCCAGCCCTATACTGCTCTTTGTATTATCACACTTGTTGCATACGTGCATGTGTATGCATGCATGTTCTATCTTCTCGGCTCATTGCATTATTTTTTTGGTGGCGTTGGGGGATAAGGTTTTACCATTTAGCTCAGGCTGGGACCAAGCTCAAAGCAATCCCTCTACCTCAGTCTCCCAAGCTTGGGAATTGCAGGACTGAGCCCATGGCCAACTGTGTAAACTGTGAAGCTGTGTCTGTGCACAGCTGTGTGGGCTGCTGGCTTCCACACGGCACCAAGCTTTCCTGAAGATGAGGGCAGCTCTGAGCCTCCACCCACCCACCCGCCAGGCACTGTGCTCCCCTTGGGGTGAGGACTCTGAGGCCAGCTCTTCTGCCAGGCAGTGTGGCTTAGTGGATACCCATGGCCCAGGCTGTACCCCAGTGCTGACAACCACAATTGGGGACACATACCCTGAAATCCCATATCATCATGGCCCCATCCATGCTAGTGGTGCAGAATTTGTGACAGTCCTGCTTGTCCACCTTGTAAATGGACACCTGGCTGAAAGAAGAGCGGGACCGTGAGGTCTGTGGAGGAGAGTAAGGCCAGCCCCCCAAGCCCCGCACTGACTCACGGCTAGGGGTACACTGGGCTCCAGATCCCTCAGGGCCACATGTGAGACCCTGTCCCAGAGCAGGAGGGGTCACTCACCCAGGATGTGGCCCAGTGGGCAGGCCTGAGACTACACCAGGCCCTGGCCGGGTCCCCAATGCCACATATACTGGGCGCTGGTGCTTGCATGGAGCCCTAACCATCTGAAGGTAGAGGCAGAAGGTTACAAGTTCAAGGTCACTGGGGCTGCAGGGAAGGGCTCAGAGGTTGACAGTGCTGGCTCCTCTTGCAGAGGTCCTGAGTTCAAGTCCCAGCACTCACAGGGTGGCTCACAGCTATCTGGTGTCAGAGGAGAGGGAGAGGGAAAAGGAGGGAGGGAGAGAGAGAGGGAAGAAGGGAGAGGGATGTAGAGAGAGAAGGTGAGAAAGGGAGGAAGAGAGGAAGGGAGGGAGAGAAAGAGAAAGAGGAAGGTAGAGAGAGAGGAAGAGAGAAAGGGAAAGAGTGGGAAAAAGGGAGAGAGGGAGTGAGAGGAAGGTAGAGAGAGGGAGAAAGAAAGGGAAAGAGAGTGGGAGAGAGGGAGAAAAGAGGAGAGGGGGAGAGAGAAAGGGAGAAAGAAGGAAAGAGGCTGAGAGAGGAAGGGAGAGTGGGAGAAAGGAGAGAGGTGGGAGAAGGAGAGGGAAGGGGAGAAAAGGGGAAGGAGGGGATGAGAGAAAGAGGGGGAAGGGAGAGAGGGGGAATGGAGAAGTAAGGGAAAGGGGAGGGAGAGGAATACAGGAAGGAAAAGGAGAGTGAGGGAGGGGGAAGGAGAGGGAAGAGAAGCAGCAGGAGGAAGACAGGGAGGGAGGGAGGGAGGGAGGAGGAAAGGCCACAGCCTCAGCATGGGGCTGGTAGAGACAGAACAGGGCTCAGCAGATACTGACACAAAGAACTGCTTTCTCCTTCCAAGCTCAGGCATGACTGGAGCATGGCTGAAGCCAACCAGTCCCCAACAAGGCCTCTGAGAGCAGACTGCTTGGGCAGCCAGAGCCTTCCTGGCTTTTGAAATCCGGCTTCAAGAGTCCCGGTTCCATCCCAAATCCACAACTCCGAAGGAAACAGGGAGACTCCATTTAATGCCCTCACCCACCCCCAGGTGCTTGCAGAACTGGCAAAGAAGGGTGAGCCAACCTGTCTGCAGAGCTTTCAGAGACCACCTCCTCCTCCTCAGATGCCAGCCTGGCCGGCTCGAGGGTTGAAGCCACAGTGCAGCCCTTGAAAAGGGCCTTTACACACTTATCATTTGAGGTTGTTATTAGTTCATTATGCTGTGTATTTGGTACACAGGTTAGTGGACGACTGTGAGAATCTGTTCTCCCTTCTCTGTGTGGGCTCTGGGCAGCACATGCGCCTTGTTTGCCACAGGAAGGTGGCACCCCGAGTGGGAGCACAATCCGGGGAACTGTGGGGGGGGGGAGTGTGCACAGGGCACATCCTGGGACTGGCACAGGCAGGTGGCACCCTGAGAAGGGGCACACTGCAAGAGACTGTGTGCAGCGTAGTGTGTGTGAAGCGCACCCTGCCTCACCTCCCCGGATGCTGGGATCGTGAGCCTGTGCCACCGTGTCTGGCTTGTAAACGTGTATTCATGCGGAGGAGTGAAAGCTTGACACCAAGGTCTCTGAAATGACCTCAGTGGCCTGTTCTTTAATCTCCCCCCACCCCCTGAGGCAGAAGCAGTCTTGCCAGGCCACAGAGGACAATGCAGCCACTCCTGATGAGACCTGATACTAGGGTCAGATGGAAGGGGAGAAGGACCTCTCCTATCAGAAGGAGCAAGGAGGAAATGAGGAAGGAAGGGATGATGGGGAGGGAGGGATAATATTGGAGGGAGGGAGGATGGTGGGGAGAGAAGGATGATGAGGAGGGAGAGAGGGATGGTGGGGAGGGAAGGATAATAGAGAGGGAGGGATGATGGGGAGTGAGGGTTGATGGGGAGAGAGGGATGATGGGGAGGGAGAGAGATGGTGGGGAGGAAGAGATGATGGGGGAGAGGGAAGACAGGAGGAAGGGAGGGGGGCTACAGCTGGGCTACAAAATAAATGAACTATAATTAATACAAAAACTAAAAATTTAATTTAAAAACAAAGTAAAACACAAACAACCAAAAAAAATAAATAAAACCTTGACACCAGCAAAGCTGTCCCAGAGCACAGTTCTGTAATGGTGACCCTTTCACAAGAAAACTAGTAGAGTCAGCACAGGGAGGACCAGATCCGAGCTGTCCACACGCCACTGCGTCCTCACGGGGAGGCCAGGAGGAGGCCATCCCCTGGGAACGTTACAGGCTGCCCATGGGAGGGTAAGTGCCAAGGCGCCCAAAAGCGAGCTCCAGGCTTCTTCCCTTGCCACAGAGCTACCTTTCACCACAGTCTGGTGACAAAGCACCATTTGGGTTCTCCCCGTAGACCTGGGGCACAAAGGCAGGAGGAAGATGGCACCTCTCCTGTTTGGGGGTGGTGTCAGGGGAAAGAGCTGAGGGATGTGTGTGTGTGCTGAGCGGGGCAGCAGCTTCAGCTCTGGTTATCTGGGACAGAGACTGGGCTGACCTTGAACTTTTGAGCCTTCTGCTTTCGCCACCACACTCTGTCCCATCTCCCTGGGGGCTGGTGGGGTCCACAGATGTGAGGAGACACTCAGGTGACTGCGGTGCCATCCTCCCAGCTCCCAGCCATGATCTTCATCAGGGTGGCAGAGACCGGGCCTGCTGGCTACAGGCGCTACCTGACAGGTGGGGGCGGGTTACTGACCCCCAGTGGGACCCAGCTGCTCTATCCTGGGCCTCTTGGCCAGCTGTATACACTCCTCCTAGCTGCAGTGCTCTAGGCTACTGTGTCCAGAGTGTGTGTGGCCAGCTGTATTCACTTCCCCTAGCTGCCAAGGAGAGCCAGCGTGTCGAGATGGCCAGCTGTATACTCCCCCTGGCTGTATATACTCCCTTTATCTGACATGGAGAGCCAGCATGTACAGATCCCTAGTTGTATATACCCCCCCATCCGCAACTGCCATGGTCTAGGAGAGCCAGCGTGTTCAGGTGGCCAGCTGTATACATTACTTCCCATAGGTGCCATGGAGAGCCAGCATGTACAGATCGCTGGCTGTATAAACAACCCCTAGCCGACATGGTCTAGGAGAGCCAAGCATGTACAGATTGCTAACTATATTCCCCTCTGCCCCCCCGCCCCCCGCAGCCAGGTGAGGACTCACTGCATGCTCTTAGAGGCATCGGCCACCGACACTGTGCTGTCATCACTGACCCAGGCCAGGTGACTCCCGCTGGCCGAGAAGCTGCCACCGCCAAACTCTGCCATCAGCTGGCCGAAGGGCATCTTGCTGTCCCATAGGGTGCTGGCTGGTTTTTGTCCACCTCCTTGATGTAGGCCGAGAACACTCTGTTATGGAAAGAGTGGGGGAGGTGGCGGGAGGCGGGTGGGGGGGGGGCAGATGCAGGAAAGGACAGCCAGGGATGTGCTTGCTGGACCAGCACGGGGACCCAAGTTCGGATCTGCATCACCCACAGGGAGCCAGAGATGGCAGCCTGCACCTGGAACCCAGGCATGGAGCCGGATGGACACAGGTCCTGGGCGCACACACACACAGATAAATAAAGATAGAGATGAAGATACCCAACAAAGGGCTGAGAGAGGGAGGCCTGCCCTGACAACAAAGGGATGGCCCCACCTTGGCTCCACTGTCACCTCTGAGGCCTTAGGAGGTTGAGGGACAGGGAAGGGCCAGAATCTGTCTCTTGCCTCTTCTGACTCCCTGGGAAGCATCTGAACGTGGCTGTGGCCCCTGGAGGCCAAGGCAGGAAGACCAGGAGTCAAGAGGAGTCAAGGAGGAGGAAGAAGAGGACGAGAAGAAGGAGGAGTCGAGGACGAAGAAGAGCTGAGGAGATGGTGAAGAGGAGTTGAGGAGAACAAGGAGGAGGAAAAAGGAGAGGAAAAGGAGGAGGAGGAGGAAGAGAAGGAGAAAGGAATAGGAAGGAGAGCCTGAACCTCAAGACTCTGTAAAACAATTCTGGGCCGCACGGCTTTAATCCAAGCACTGGGGGAGGTGGAGGCAGGGGGATCTCTGTGAGTTCGAGACCAGCCTGCACTACAGTGACTCAGATAAACCCTGTTTTCAAAACCAAACCAAAGCAAACCTCTAGTTCCCTAAGTCCAACTTCCAAATGACAGCTGCAGTTGAGGGTCTGCAAAGTTAGGGGCGTCGGCTTCTCCTGCCCAGGGGTCACGGGCAACTGTGAACGGAGATGTCCAGACAGTCCAGTCCTGTCTTAGTTGATGGAAGAGCCAGGGGACCCTGGATAACTAATGGACCACAAACTCCTGAGCACAGAGCCCCGATACTACCTTAGCTCCACCATCACCACCCAGATTTTTCTTGTTTGTTCACGGTGCTGAATAATGAACACAGCGCTTTGCTACAGACTTGGCAAATTCTCCACCACTGAGCAACCCTGCCCGCTTTTTTTTTCTTGTTTGTTTGTTTGTTTTTTGCTTATTCATTTTGTAATTAAGCCTGAGCATCAATGACAGGGCTGATTTTCTGGAAAATTTTCACATGGACCGGGAGGTGCTAACCTTCGAGCTGTGGTGCCCTGCCCCAGAAAATTATTGTCATTGTTGCTTTGTAACTGCAAATTTGCTGCTGATGTAAAGTGTGACATAAATGTGTTCTGGTGGTCTTGGGTGGCCCTCGTGAAAGGGTCGTTTTATCCACGGAGGGGTCATACTCCTCAGGCTGGGAAACCCTGACAAAGGCACTGAACGTGGGTCGACTCTGCCCCAAAGAGTCAAGACAAAACAGTGAAGAGTCAACATAAAACAGCGATGAATTCTTTGCTTTTCCTCTTGCTCAAGGGGAAAGGGCCCTGTTGAAGGACAGGTTTTAAAAAGCAACCGTGGCATGATTCTTAAAGCTCTAGCAGGGTGGGGAGTCTCCTCTAGCCTCAGGCTAAAGACAGTGGGAACATTCTGTCTGTACACCCTCAGGGACACGTGGATAAAGTCAGGTTCACTGTTCTCTGCAGTCTGTGGCCTGGGAAACAAAATGAAGACCTGAAACAGTCCAAGAAAGAGGCTGGTGGGCATGAAGGCATAGACTTGTAATTCTAGGACAAGAAGCTGAGGGAAGATGGTGAGCTCCAGACAACCTGGGTTTCATGCTTCCAACTCCTTGTCATATCAAAACCCAGTGAACTGATCAGAAAAGATGGCTCAGTGGTGACACACTTGCTGTTCTTCGAGAGGACTGGCTTGGGCTCCCAGCACCTGTATCAGGTGGCTCACAACCACCTCTAGCTCTTGGGCATCTCTTACCCCTTCTGGCTTTTGCCAGGCATGCATACTCACATGCACAAAGATAAATAAAATCAATTGACTTAAAAACTGAGGACAGGCTGAGAGAGAGACAGACATAGCATGAGCTCACCTGCACTCAAGACTACCCACTCTGCCTAAGACCCCTCACTGTACTGGCCAGGCTGCTGTGCCCAACGACCTGCTAACCCTATGGCTGAGTCCATCATATCTTCTGCCACTTGCTCTGTTCATCACTGTGCTTCAGTTCACTTGTTCTTTTTCTCTTTCTTGGGACAGGATCTCATACAGCCTGGCTGCCCTCAATCTTGGTCTGTAACTGAGCCTCTAATCTTAGCTCCACATGCAATGCTGGGTTTACAGGAGTGCAGCACCTGGCAGGCCTCCACAGTGCTGGGGGATGGTAACCAGCTCAGCAAATTCTCTACCTGCTGAACCATATCCCAGCCCCAGCTCCTTTTCTAAACCAGGAAGTTCCCTTTATCACCGAGCTGCTTACAGGGTACTGTACTTTGCAAATAAAGGAGCCCAAGGGGTACCTGTCAGTGCTGAGCAACAGGCAATGCCCATTTATCCTCACCTGCATTTGAAGTCACGTGACCCTGCAGCAAGCAAAATGTTGTTGGGGTGCCAGCCCAAGCAGAAGACTGTGGAGTGAATCGGCTTAATGTGCTTGCTCACCCACCTGAGAAAGGAAAAAACCTAGTTTATACTGTCCTCACAGACAAAAACAGCAGCATTTTCCAAGCCACCCCATAAACCCCCTCCAAATAAAAGTGATCTATTTGTTTACAAAAACCATTTCAATTCTGAAATCTACAGGCAACGTTAGCTACATTTACTGAGATAACCCGTGTACAAACCATCACTTTTAATGTTGTAAGGCTGTCCTTTGACTTAGGCGTGAGTATTTTCATGGGCTTCCTACAGTGCACAGCTGCTCCTGCTGAGGGCTGGCTTGCCCCCTGTCAGGGAAGAGCTCCCTACACAGAGTTCAGGCTGGCCTCCGACTTGCTGTGAACCCCACAATGCTCTCAAAGGCAAGCTAGAATTACAGGCCTGTGCCTGTAATTGGCCTGAGGGGCTGATGTACAGCTCACGTTCAGGGACTACATCTGGGACCACAGTAAGGTCCAGTCCGCCTACTGCCTCTCAGCGAACACATACAGTCAACTACTCCAAGGTAGTCAGGAGGAAACGCTTCCTATGTGAGTTAAGAAGATTTGGGGGCTGGAAAGGAGATGATGGGATGAAGGAAGAACTGGAGGGAGGAAAGAAGGGAAGGGAAATTAGAACGGCTCACCAGTTGTTTTCAGACTCAAAGTAGCAGACGAAGGAGCTGAGCCGGGCTCAACTCCTCACAGCAAACTTGTTCTCCAGGGGGGACTAATTCACAAAAGGGGCACCGTTGATCCTGAGCAAGGGCAGGGGCGGTGGCAACCTCCTCAAAGCCGCTCCTCCTTGGCCCGGCAGAGGACCTGCAAGATGGCCTTGCACCCTGGCTCTCCACTTCTCCAAAACTTTTCCTCCTTGGCCACGCAGAGGACCTCTACGGTGGCCGTGCGCCCTGGCTCTCCTGGAGAATCCTGGGGCTGGGATAGTGGTGGGACAGCATCTTTAGGTGGTTTCTCTTCCCTGTCGGGGTCTGTCCCCAGGAGCGCACCTTGTACCCAGGCCTGCACAGGCTTGGCCTATTCCTTGCAGTCCTCTTCCTGCTTTGGGATCAGGTCAGGGTTCCAGGCAGCTTGGTTCTCCAGACCTGAAATGGGAGAATGTTAGCAGAGAGAGTGAGAATGGGCTCAGCCCGGGACTCCAATGTCAGTGTCAGGACCCGAGGTCTCACTGGGATCGGGGTGGGGATCTATAAGAACTCTTCCTCTGGGCGATTGGGGCGAGGGAGGCAGGGTGGGAACTGGGGAATTCTGGGAAGAAGAGGGTTTCCAGAGGCAGGAGGCCAGGAACTGGGGCATTCTGGGAAGGATGCTTCATGACAGCATCCAGGCTCACCAGACCATAGGGCGTCGGAGAGGAGCATCACTCACCTGGCATGGCCGTTCTCCCGTAGTCCTCCGTGCTCTCTCCGTACAAGCGTTCTGGGGGGCCGCGGCCAGCTGCTGCCATTCTCCCCGGGTCGGAGATCCAGCTTCGGGCTTGAAAGACGGGTGCCCTGGAGGGACGCAGGCCTCAGTTAGTGCTCGCTGTCCCTGCTGAGAGCAAGGAGCTGGAGAGCCGAGTGACAGGATAACAAAGCGTCCCGTGTCATCTCGACTGGACTTAGGGTACCCTGAAATGTGGCTTCGGGGCTAGCCTGAGCTAGCCAGCAACTCCCAGCATCTCCCAGCAGATTTGATTGCGCTAAATGGGCGAAATGGAGACAAGGGGAGCGGCAGCGTCCACCTCCTCCTCACTGCTAACTGGGAAACAAGGGGACCAACCACACCCCTGTCGCACCTTCCTGGCCCTGGACTGTGGCTCTTGTTCAACCCTGACACCCCAAAATTCGGCCTTCCTTCTCGGAGCCCTTGACACGGCGGCGGGAAAATTCATTCCAATGTGGTCTCAGAAATTGGGGGGTCCTCACCTGCGGGGAGGCTAGGTGCAGGGCGCGCGCCCAGGCCGCCGTCTTCTCCCCGCTCTCGGGCGCCGGTGGCGCACGGGGTCCCGCAGCCGGTGCGGGAGGAGACTGAGGAACTGCTCGAGGACCAGCAGCTCCAGCATCTGTTCCTTGGAGCGCCGCTCGGGACGGCCAGCGGCGGCACAGCTCCCGCAGGCCGCTCAGCGCCTTCTCCGTGCCTGACACGTCCGCGTAACTCAGCCGCCGGAAGCGTCTCCGGGAGGTTTCGGGGTCCCGCCAGTCTCCGGGGACTTGCTTCTCCTCTTCCGCCTTCACCTCCACCTCGCAGCCCACCGCCATAACAGACTCGGACCTCCGAGACCCCGATGAGATTCCCGGAAAGCAGGGCGCGCGGCCACCGTCTCCCCCAAAACGCCACTGCGACAGCTCACAGCCCAGGCCAGCCCGCTAGAGGGAGAAAAATAAGGCCGGAAGTGTGTGGTCAACCCACACCGACTCCGAAGAGAGAGATAGAGAGGCGGCGCCCGTCCTAGGTATCTCCATGCGCCCTGGAGGACTAAGTGGCCTCTCCGCCTCCCAGCGTTTATGACGCTGGAAACAGCGCGCAGGGGATTCCGGGATTTGTAGGTGACTCAGGGGCCACGAACCAGGCAGCCCACAGGGAGGGACGTAGGCTCGTGACTACGAGCAATCCCAGGATGCATCGCACCACGGGGAAGCCATTTTTGTAGTTCTCGGATACAATACCAGAAGTCCTTTCTCCAAAGCCATGTTTGTAGTTCTCAGGACGGTGGGTCTCTGGCGCGAAGCATCTTGGGACGGTTGGGCGTACCTTGACCAGAGAGTTCTCCGAACTGAGAAACGAAGGGATGAAGGTCATCTGTGAGTAGAGGGTTTGTGTTTACATCCCCGTGACGGGGGTCAGGGAAATGGCCGGGCGGCCTCGGTGCCTCCGAGACCGGAAGTCTCGGATCTCTGCGGGGCGGATACGGAAGCGAAGCCCGAAGGAGCGGGACTTCCGCTAGAGGCGCGCTGCTACCCGGAACGGTTTTCTCAGGTCAACAATCTTCTTATCCCAAACTGTTATGAATTCATAGTCCTGCTCACACGCGCGGTGGGTGGAGGAAGGGGAGTGGGAGGGATTTTGGGGTTCCCCGCCTCCCTCCCCTGTCCACTCCTCGCCTTCCATCCATCCGCCTGGAGTCCCCGAGCTGCTCGTGCGGAACTGCAGGCAGGGGGATGGCGGGAAGAGAAGAGTCACAGTCCTCTGCTCCCACCAGGCCTGCGTGCTTCCTGGGGGAGATGGGTGCACGCCGCCCAGGGATTAGGCTGTGCACGACCTAGTATTGGTTGTTCTGGCGCCCTCTGCTGGCCTGCGGGTGCACGAGCAGGGAGGATCCTATAAATAATGTTTAGGGGGATGGGGGTTGGGTAAGTAAGGTGCACTGGGCTTAGTTGTTAGGGTGCTGGGGACTCAGTACAGAAGGATCTGGCCACCTCTGCAGGCAGGCAGGAAGGAAGGGAGGGAGGGAAGAAGGAAGGAGGGAGGGAGGGAAAGAAAGAAAGAAGGAAGAAAAAGAAAGAAGGATGGAAGAAAAAGAAAGAAGGAAGGAAGGAAGGAAGAAAGAAAGAAAGAAAGATAGATAGATCTGTGTGGTTTTTACAGAAAAACAGCCAGAAAGAAAGAAAGATCTGTGTGGTTTTTACAGAAAAACAGCCAGCTAATTGAAACTTGGGTACTATTTGGTGTTGATTTGCTGAATTTGAACCAAAGTACACAGGTAAATGTGCAGATATTCTGTAGTGATATAAGTAATTGACGTTTTCCACATGGTAAATATATTGTTTTCAACCAGAAGGAAGGTGTAGAACATGGCAAACATTTTTGTTAGAGTCCGTCTGTATCAACTACGAATGACTTGGTAATCTTTTTCAGAGGAAGTGTCTCATATTCAAAGGCAAGAGCTATCCTTGGCTTAATGAACTTTCTCTAGTCACCTACACTTTCCCAGTACCCAGGAAATTCTTACTTACATAAATTCTGTATTGACATGTTTGATTGCTCACTTCCTGCTTTGCTATGTGAAAATCATGACCCATACCCAATTTCTATAGAGATTAAACCAGAAGAAAATGATGTGGTGACCATTTCTGAGCCCAGCTATTCCATATGGAATGCAGTGTATGCAGTGTCCCATGCCCTCCACAAAATGCTGTTGAACAAAATTGAAATGCGATCTAAAGAAGACAGAAACATGGACTGGCTTCTTCCATGCCAGGTAAGCCTCACTCATAAGCAAGGGAAGCGTGAGGATCTTATATTATTGGTAAGTAATTCACTATCCTCAAACCAATAAAACATTTTCATCCTATAGTTGAAAGTACAAATTAAAATGTAAAAAGGTTCTGTCAAGGTGTATGTGTATATATATTACATGATTTGGGGGCTGAAAGCACTCATTTGAAGATATTAAATTTGAATGTCTTTCAATAAATGTTTTCCTAGTGTGCGATGAAATTCTGTAAGATACAATTGTACATAGTGTAAAAATATAGCAAGTTCAAGAACCAAACTTTTTTATGATTTCATGGAATATGTCCAATGCCATAAGATATAGACTAGGACCTCATATCCAAAGCAACTATTTCATCTAAAATACAGTCTTTATTTATGACAAAAGACCATAAAAAGATCCTTTTGTGGACAATAAATAGCCTGTCCTCGAGTCAGCAGTAACAGAAAAGTAATTGCTTTCACAGATGATTTAGTATTAATAAGGTAAGATGAATGTGAAACCAAAATTGTGGTCCCATTAATAAATTTTAGAACATAGACAGTACTCATGAGCCTGGGCCGTAACTCAGCGTGTTAGTGATGAGTGTAATGTGTGGGTTTTAAACCAACAAGATATAAACTGGGACTCACTTACACTTACAAGCCTTGGAGATCAACTTCAAGTAGGATATCAAGATGATTATTGAGCAAGTCAATTGAACTTTTCATTCAGTCGATAGGTAAATAAAAGATAAAATGTGAATGTTTGTATACTACATACTTTAGTATTTTGGGAATCAGTAATATTTGACATTAATATTAACATAGTCTGTAATCATGGCTTCCAGTCATATTGTATTAGGTAAGTGAGTATATTTCTTGTACGGATAACTGAGTACCTGTATAGAAGTTCTTTATAATATGACTTAATTATTAGTTAACAGAATATTAGGTTGTGTTATTAATTTTCAGAAGTTGATTTTTTGTAATAAAGATAATACTGCTGGTGTCTTAACAAAAATATAGAAGTGTTTCTTCCTTTTCCCTTATGTGGAATACTTTGAGGAGTATCGCAGTGAATTATTTGAGACTCTTGTAGAATTCATGCTGAATCTCTAGACCTAGGCTTTTCTTTTCTTTTTTTTTTCTTTTAATTGAGAGATTTTTAAATTACCATTTCTATCTTGGTTGTTATGTGTCTGTTTTAATAATTTACTTCATCTTGATTTAATGTTGTTAGATTTTATACATCTAAAAGTCTACCCATTTATTCTTTTGCATTTAAATGCTTAGTTAAATGAAGACTTTTAAAATATGAACCTATGATTCTCTGCTTTCCTCAGTGCATATTGTAATGCCTGTTAGATCAGGATTGATGTAGTTGACATGGACTTAAAAGAGAGGAGACAGGCCTTTCCAAAAGCAGGATTTTTTCTCTCAGACAGAACACTGATATGGTAGTCTTTTGAGAGGGGAAGTGGAGATTCTGGTGCTGTAGTACTGGGGGCTGGAGGTTTTAAGTAGCTTGATGGGGAGAATGACACACCGTGGGGGTTCAGTGTTTAAATTTCTGGCCTTAGTCCTGCCTGTCTGTAGATGTGTGGTTTTATTTCTGGGTATTTGATTCAATTCCATTGACCCACAAGTCTGTTTCTCTGCCAGTACTATGCCGTTATTATTACTCTTGCTCTATAGTATAGCTTTAGATCAGGGATGGAAGATAACTTCAGAAGTTCTTTATCATACTGGGTTGTTTTAACTTTTTTTAATATGATGATGAGAATTGTTCTTTCAAGGTCTGTAAGGAATAGTGTTGGTATTTTGATGAGAATTGCATTAATCTCTAGATTTCTTTTGGTAGGATGACCATTTTTGCTGTTATTCTTACTGATCCATAAGCATGGAAAATCTTTCCATCTTCTGATATTTTCTTCAATTTCTTTCTTCAGAGACTTGAAGTTTTTTTCATACATATCTTTCCCTTGCTTGGTAAGTGTTAAACTGACATACTTTGTTATTTGTGACTATTGGAAGGTTGTTGTTGCCCCGATTTCCTTCTCACCTCACTTGTCTTGTATACAGGAAGACTTCAGATTTTTTTTTAGTTAATTTTATAGCCAGCAATTTTGCTAAAGGTGTTCATCAGCTGTACGAGTTCTCTGGTAGAATTTGTGGGTCCACTCATATATATTATGATATCATCTGTGAATAGTGATACTTTGACTTCTTCCTTCCTGATTTGTATCCCTTGATCTCCTTTAGTTGTCTTACTGCTCTAGCCTGGACATGGTGGATGGTATCTTTAATGTGTTCTGAGATTTGCTTTGCAAATTTATTGGGTATATTTTTATCAATGTTCATAAGAGAGATAGGTCTGAAGTTCTATTTTTTTGTTGGGTCTTTGTGGGGTTTAGGTATCAAGGTGACTGGCTTCCTAGAATGAGTTTAGTAATGTTCCTTCTGTATCTATTTTGTGGAATAGGTTAAAGAGAATTGGAGTTAGCTCTTCTTTGAATGTCTGGTAGAATTCTGAGCTGAAACCATATGGCCCTAGGCTTTCTTTTTTTGGAAGGGAGACTTTTGATGACTGATTCTATTTCCTTGCGAGATATAGGACTATTCAATCTATTTACCTGATCTTGATTTAATTTTGGTAGATGGAATCTATCAAGAAAATTGTTCATTTCATTTAGATTTTCAAATTTTATGGCATATAGTTCCAAGATCTCTCTTTCCTGCTTCTTTCTCCTAGCTCTCTCACACCAATCCTCCCACGCATTTTCTGTCCTCTGGCTCCATCCATTGTACAACATTGTGCCTAGTTGTTTTATTTTGGCCTGTTTACACACAGTTGAGACAGGATGCTTACAGTAAGTATCACAATGCAAAATCTGGATTGAAACCAGGGGGGGAGAAATCAGCATTTGAATGAACAAGGGTAAGGTGTATACATTTCAAATGAACATTATACCAACACTATCGCTCTTTGCAGATGATGTAATAATATGCATTACAATTTCCCAAAATTCTATCACAAAAATTTATGAAATGATTAACAAGGATAGCTATGTGACAGTATACAGAACCAACTTGAACAAATCAATTTACTTTTGTATATACTAACATCAAACATTCAAAGGAGACCTTGAACACACTCCCATTCAGAAATGTCTGAAGGAAAGTAAAATATCTAGTAATAAACAGATGAAAGAAAAAAATAACACACCTACAATGAGAACTTCAAACACCTGAAAAAAATCAAGAAAGACTGGAAAATGAGGAGACATCCCACGTTCCTGGATTGATAAAATAAAATTTTGAAAATGACCATTCAACTAAAAGCTATTCACAAATTAAATACAAATTCAATAAAAAGCATAATCTCATTCTTCACAGATAGAAAAAAAACAAAAACAACTTCTGCCTAGTTCCCTCTCTTCATCCACTTCTGTCTATTCTATTTTCTATTCTGAGTGACATTCTGGCACCCTCCTGTGAACCCTTCTTGTTATTTGGCACCTTTGCATGTGTGGATTGTAGTATGTTTATCCTGTACTATAGGTCTAATATCAGCTCATAAATGAGTACATACTATGTCTTTCTATCTGTGTCTATGTTACCTCATTCAGGATGATTTTTTTCTAGTTCGATCCCTTTGTCTGCAGTTTCCATGATTTCTTATTTTTAATAACTGATTAGTATTCCATTGTGTAAATGTACCAGAAGTACTTTATCCATTCTTCTAGATTTGAGGGACATCTGGGTTGTTTCCAGTTTCTAGCTGTTATGAATAAAATAGCTATGAACACAGTAGAACAAATGTTCTTGTTCTATAGTGGAACATCTTTTGGATATATTCCCTGGAGTGGTGTAGTTCTGGAGGTAGAACTATTCCCAATTTTCTGAGAATGCACCACATTGATTTTCAGGGAAGTTGTACAAGTTTGCACTCCCATCAGCAGTGAAGCAATGTTCCCTTTTCTCCACATCCTCACCAGCATGTGTTGTCACTTGAGTTTTTGATCTTAGCCATTTGAGTGGTGTAAGATGGAATCTTAGAGTCATTTTGGTTTCTGTTTGTCTGATGGCTAAGAACTTTTGATGATTTCCTTTAGTGCTTCTCAGCCATTCGAGATTCCTCTGTGGTGAATTCCCAGTTTAGCTCTGAACCCCATTTTTTAATTGGATTAGTTGTTTTGTTGGTGTTTAATTTCTTAAGTTCTTTGTATATTTTAGATTTTACTGCTCTGTCTGAAGTATGGTTGGTGTTGGTATTTTCCCAATCTGTTGGCTGCCATTTTGTTCTTTTGATAATGTCCTTTTGACTTACAGAAGATTTTCAGTTTTCTGAGATCCCATTTATTAATCAATCTCAGAACCTGTGCTGATTTGTTCTATTGTCTCCTATGTTAATGAGTTCCAGACTTTTCTCTACCTTGTCTTCTAAATGATTTAGAGACTCTGGTTTTCTGTCAAGGTCTTTGATCCCCTTGGACTTGAGTTTCTGCAGGGTGATACAAAGGGATCTCTTTGCATTTTTCTACAGGCAGACATGTAGTTAGACCACAACTATTTGTTGAAGATGTTGTCATTTTTCCATTGTATGGTTTTGTTTTTGTTGAAAATAAAGTTCCAGTAGGAGTGTGGGTTTATTTCTGTGTCCTTATTCCAATTGTACAGGATTGGTCTGCTCTGAAGGGTGTTTTATTTTTCCATATGAAGTTTGCTCTTTCAAGGTCTGTAAAGAATTATTTTGGAATGTTGGTGGGAAATGGATTGAATCTGTAGATTGCATTTCTTAAGAATGCCATTTTACTATGTTAATCCTACATATCCATGATTTTGGGAGATCATTCCATCTTCTGATATCTTCCTCAGTTTCTCTCTTTAAAGACTTGAAATTCTAGTCATAGAGGTCTTTCATTTGGTTGGTTGAAGTTACTACAAAATATTTCATATTGTTTGTGGCTACTGTTTAGGGTGTTGTTTCCCAAATTTTATTCTCAGCCCATTTTTCATTTGTATACAGAAGGGCCAATGAACTTTTTAGTTAATTGTGTTCCCAGCCAGTATATATCAATTGTAGGAATTCTCTGGTAGAATATCTTGGGTCACATATGTACACTAGTATATCATCTGCGAATAGTGATACTTTGACTTCTTCCTTTCCAATTTGTATCTCCTTGATCACCTTCAGTTGTGGTATTACTCTGGCTAGGACTTAAGCTGTATATTGAAGAGATATGGAGAGGGTAGGCATCCTTGTCCTGTACCTCATATGAGTGGAATTTAAGTATCTCTCCAAATAATTTCATGCTGGCTCTCAGCTTGCCTTTTACTGCTTTTATTATGTTAAATATGTGCCCAATTCCTTGTATGTCTGATTTCTCCAAGTCTGTTAACATGAAGGGGTGTTGGATTTTGTGAAAGGCTTATTCTCATCTAATGAGATGATCATATGATTTTGTTCTTTCAGTTTGTTTATATGGTGGATTACACTGATGGATTTTGAACCATCCTAGTATCCCTGAGATGAGGCCTATTTGTTCATCGTGTATATCTTTGATGTATTTTTGGATTTGGTTTTTGAGTATTTTATTGAGTATATTTGTTTCTATGTTCATGAGTGAGATTGATCTGAAATTTTCTTTCTTTGTTGAGACTTCTGTTTGTGTATGAGGGTGACTGCCATCACAATGAGTTTGGCAATGTTCCTTCTGTTTGTATTTTGTGGAATCCTTTGATGAGTATTGGTATGAACTCTTGTTCGAAAATCGGGTATGGATTCAATGCTAAAACCATCTAGCCCAGGGCGTGTGCGTGTGTGTGTGTGTGTGTGTGTGTGTGTGTGTGTGTGTGTGTGTGTATGTGTTTGGCAGACTTTTAATTACTGCTTCCATTTTCTAAGGGACTATTGATCTATTGTTTTATATTACTGATCTTGTTGGTTTTGTGTTTGAAGAAAAAATTTCTCTCTGTTGTCTTGTGTGTCCTGTAAGTAGGTATGTAAATCAGGCAAGCCTCAGATGTAGAGATTCATCTGAATCTTAATGTAGAGTGCTATATTTGTAATTTTGTTTTGTTTTTATATTATTGACTGATAACCTGAAATGTAGGTATTTGTACATATCAAATCTGTTCTTCAATTGATCTTCATCCACATGTTGAATTTTGAGATTTAACAGAGCATATTATATTTCTCATTTGGTAACTTCCTGGTTCTTAACCCATGCTGCTATGGTTTCTCATCTAGGGCCACACCTGTATTTTGCCAGGGGTCTCCTATGACCTCCAAATTCACCTACCCTAATTTCTATTCTCTCTCTTCATTCCTTCCTTGCCTCTACTTTCCCCATATCTGATGTCCCTCCCCATTATCCTCCTCACTCCCTCTCCCACCCTATTCCTTCCCTTCATTTAATTCAGATACCTATCTTATGTTCTCTTCTGAGTGAGTTTCCTACATCCTCCCTTTGCTCTCCTTGACACTCTGGGTCTGTGGATTGTTCCATGGTTATCCTGTACTTTATGGTTAATTTCCACTTATGAGTGAGTAGGTACCATGTGGGTCTTTCAGGGTCTGGGTTATCTCACTCAGAAAAATCTTTCCTAATTCCATCCATTCTCTGGCTGATTGCATGAAGTCTTTGTTATTAATAGCTAATTGGTATTCTGTTCTATAACTGTATCATATTTTATTTATTCATTCTTCAACAGAAGATGTCTAGGTTGTTTCTAGTTTCTGTTTATTACAAATAAATCTGCTATGAACATAGTTGAGCGAGTGTCCGTGTGTTATGGTAGAACATCTTTTGGGTATATTTCCCGGAGTAGTATAGCTCTTCAGGTATATAGGTATTGATGTTGGACTGTTGTAAAGTTTTTGAGAAATGTCTAGATGGATTTCCAAAGTGGTTGTTCAAGTTTTCATTCTCACCAGCACTGAAGGTGTGTTTTCCTTACTCCACATCCTCACCACAGTGTGTTATCCCTTGAGTTCATGATCTGAGTCATTCTGACAAATGTAAGCTTGAAATGCAGAGTCCTTTTGATTTGCATTTCCTTGATGACTAAGGACACCGAACATATCTTTAAGTAGTTCTCAGCCATTAGCACTTCCTCTGTTGAGAGTTGTCTGTTTAGTTCTTTATGCCATGATTTAATTGGGTTATTTGGTTTGTTAGTGTCTAATTTCTTCAATTCTTTATTTTAGATATTATTCTTCAGTCAGAGATAGGGTTGGTGAAGGTCCTATCCCAGTCCATGTGCTATCATTTGTTCTATTGATAGAGTTGTTTACCTTCCAGGTGCTTTTCATTTTCATGTGTCCCTTTGTTAATTGTTGATCTTATTTTCTGAGCTGTTGGTGTAGTGTTCACAGAGGTGTCTCTATCTTTTTTATTTGGTTGGTTAATTTTTACAGAATATTCAGGTTTTTATTACATACCCGACTGTCCTGGAACTTATTGCATAGACCAAGCTGACATCCAGCTCTATGAAATACTCCTGGGCCTGTCTCCTGAGTGTTTTGGAAAAAAAGACTTGAGAAAATACACCCAGCTTGCCCATTGTTATTATAGTTAGTTCATACTGTTTATCTGATATGGGCTCAGTACTGTTAGTGTTTACTCTCTCTCTTTATGTCTTTGAATTGGCATTTCTCTTACAAGGCTCTATCCTCCTGAAAGGATGCAAAAATTAGAGAGGTGAACCTCACTATTCAGTTACCTCCTAAAAAGAGTTCGTGATTACATTAGAACCTGTGTGTCAGAAAATAAGTAGAAGAAACACTAGAATTCTATGAAAATACTGTAAACGAAGTATACATTTCCAGTATACTTTGTCTGTTTCATGCTTTCTGTTGTACACATGTGTGAATATTTTAGAATGCATTGACCTACAATGATGTGCTTGTGAACTTCACTCGAGAAGAGTGGGCTTTGCTGGATCCTTCCCAGAGGAGTCTCTACCAAGATGTGATGCTGGAGACCTACAGGAATCTCACTGCTATCGGTATGAGAGTGAATTATCTTTACTTTTTAAAATAAGGGAAGAACTCTTTATTCATTATTGATGTACTTCTACAATTTTACTTGAGCATGAGGAAGACTAAAATGAGTGGTTCTTTGATTGATCATAGATCATGACCTAAATTTTGCCTTATTTCCAATAATAAAACATACGTTTTCTGGTATTGTATTTTAGGCTACAATTGGGAAGATCATAATATTGAAAAACATTGTCAGAGTTCTAGAAGACATGTAAGGTAACTTTCATGTGTAAGCTGATATGAATATGATTCTAAGAAAATGTTAATATATCTTGGAAATATGAAAGAAAAGGAACAGTGTAAATGGAATGCTTTGACTATATTTATTGATGATTACTAACTTGTTACTAAACCATTTACCTCCATGTTAGGTATTTGATGTGTCTTTGCAAGGCACTCCTGTAAGAATGCAAGGAAACCATACCTTATGCAAGATCAACATTTAAATCGTAGCCTCATTAGTGCTATGAGGTGGAACTGCAATTTCTTTAGTCTCTTACAACTCAGATATTGCTAAAGGTATTCACAGTAAATAGTTGTTGAAAGTATGTAGAAAACATACTAAAGTAGTCCATAGTAAAGCTGGGTTTACTCATACACTTGTAATAATGTTGCTAAGCTTTGTGAGAAGGACAGTTTTTTTAGAGTCAAGAATGTTGTTGAGGAAAAACCATAACCTCTATAGCACATACATATGATGAACAAAAATCAAATGTGTGAATGCAACGTGAAAACGTCATTTATTATTCTTCTTTTAATAGGGATATCCTATATCACAATGAATACAAGTCACAGGTATATTGAAAGAAACAATGTACCACTCAAAATAACTAGATAAATAGTAGTCCCCATTATGAGTAGTTGTTTAAATGGTGATACCTATTATGCTTTATATGGGCTATTCAGAGATGCAAGAATTACAAATAATGACACAGAGATTTTTATATTTTAAAGCTTAGGCAATTTAACTGGGTGGACTCTGAACCCTCTTTTTCCCTAACATAAATAAACCTAGCACAGTGTCCTGCTGCGTGGACAGCACTACCTCTTTGTTCATGTTCATGTCTGTCTGTTAACCCCTCTGTCCTGCTGGTGAATTGCCTGTCATTTATTCTTCCCAGCAACCCTCTCTCACTCAGAAGTTCTGCTCTCCATTTTGCTCCCTGCTATCAGTTGTGAGCTCTTTATTATTTCCAATAGATATGTAAGGAAGGACAAGTATTTACAAAGTACAGGGCATTTGATGAACCATAAAAAGAGCAATTCTGCAATCTGGTTAGCACTTAGCTCCCTGCTGGCTCAGCAATCAGCATTCACATACACTGACACACATTCACACAATACACACCAACATCAATTAACTGGTTATTCAGGTTCATTAGGAATTCTCACAAAATCACACTTCAGAAAATGTAGTTTTAGGAGTATATAAATTCTTCTGTTTGTCACAGTTATCTTTGCCAATTTACCATGGTGCACAGTACAGGGAAATTTATTAACCCAGTCAGTGGGTTAAAACTCTGAGGTCTTGCAATTTTCTACAAATATGTGGTAAAACATCTTATAGAAGAAAGTAAGAAAGTATAGTATAAATGTGAGCCAGGTGACAAATATTTTTACCATCACAGGTATTTTCAAATATGGAAAACACCCCCTAGAGAAGAATACCATGAATGTAAAAATAATGATGAAAACCTAAGATGTAATTCCTATCTATCTTTATACCAAATTGTAAGATTAAGTGACATGGACAAATAGATTCATCAGTGTAATGAATGTGCTAAGCTTTCATATGTGCCAATTATCTTTGCAGGTATGAAAACATTCATAGTGGAGACAAACCCCCTGAAGATACTCAATATGATGAAGTCTTTACACATCACAGGAGTCCCCACACATACGAAAGTAAGCATACTTGTGAGGACCGCTATGAATCAAACCAATATGGTAACGCTTTTGCACATAACAGTCATCTCCTAAGACATAAAAGGACACATTTAGGAGAGAAACCTCATGAATGTAACCAATGTGGTAAAGCCTTTGCGTGTAACAGTACTCTTATAATACATAAAAAAACTCACACTGGAGAGAAACGTTATGAAAGTAACCAATGTGGCAAAGCCTTTGTAAGTAATAGTCATCTCCTAAGACATAGAAGAACTCACAATGGAGAAAAACCTTATGACTGTAACCAGTGTGGTAAAGCCTTTGCATGTAACCGTGATTTCCTAAGACATAAAAGAACTCACACTGGGGAAAAACCCTATGAATGTAACCAGTGTGGTAAAGCCTTTGCATACAACAATGTTCTTCTAATACATAAAAGAATTCACACTGGAGAAAAACCTTATGAATGTTACCAATGTGGTAAAGCCTTTGCACAGAGGTGTACTCTCCTATTACATAACAGAACTCACACTGGAGAGAAACCCTATGAATGTAGCCAGTGTGGTAAAGCCTTTGCACAGAGGTGTACTCTCCTAGTACATAGCAGAACTCATACTGGAGAAAAACCCTATGAATGTAACCAGTGTGGTAAAGCTTTTTCATATAACCATAATCTCCTACTACATAAAAGAACTCACACTGGAGAGAAACCCTATAAATGTAACCAGTGTGGTAAAGCCTTTGCATACAACCATGTTTTCCTAATACATAAAAGAGCTCACACGGGAGAGAAACGTTATGAATGTAAGCAATGTGGTAAAGCCTTTGCACAGAACAGTCATCTCCTAAGACATAAAAGAACTCACACTGGAGAAAAACCTTATGAATGTAACCAATGTGGTAAAGCCTTTGCATCTAACAGTGATCTCCTAATGCATAAAAGAACTCACACGGGAGAGAAACGTTATGAATGTAATCAATGTGGTAAAGCCTTTGCATGTAACAGTAATCTCTTAAGACATAAAAGAATTCACACTGGAGAAAAACCTTATAAATGTAACCAATGTGGTAAAGCCTTTGCAGATAACAGTGATTTCCTAAGACATAAAGGAACTCATACTGGAGAAAAACCTTATGAATGTAACCAATGTGGTAAAGCCTTTGCACAAAGGTGTACTCTCCTCGTACATAACAGAACACACACTGGAGAAAAACCCTATGAATGTAACCAGTGTGGTAAAGCCTTTGCAGATAATAGTAATCTCCTAGTACATGTAAGAACTCACACTGGAGAGAAACCTTATGAATGTAATCAATGTTGTAAAGCCTTTGCATATAATAGTGCTCTCCTAAGACATAAAAGAACTCACACTGGAGAGAAACCTTAGGAATGTAATGAATGTAGTAAAGCCTTTGCACGTAACAGTCATCTCCTACTACATAAAAGAACACACAGTGGAGAGAAACCTTATGAATGCAACCAATGTCGTAAAGCCTTTTCATATAACAACGTTCTCCTAATACAGAAAAGAATTTACACTGGAGAGAAACCTTTTGAAGGCACCCAACATGGTAAAGCCTTTGCACTAAACAGTCTGCTGGTAGTACATAAAAGAACACACACAGGAGAGAAATCTTATGAATGTACCCAATGTCATAAAGTGTATGCATTTCTAAAAACGTGACTTACCCTGGAGAAAAAAAAAATCTTTGTGAATGTAATCAGTGTGGCATCACCTTTGTACAACACAGCCATCTCCTAAGTATAAAAATGTATGTTGCAGGAAATCCTTATGAATATAACCAATGTCATAAAGGCTTTTCATGTAAGAGTCATCTTGAACAAGAACGCCTACTGGAGTGAAACCCTGTGAATGTAACCAACGTCTCAAAGCCTTTGCATGCCATAATAATCTCCATGTACATAGCAGAGTACACATTGGAGAGAAACTTTCTGAATGTAACCAATGCGATAAAGCCTTTCGACGTAATAGTAATCTCCTATGACATAAAGAACACCTACTGAAAGAAGCCTTATGAATGTAATTGATGTGGTAAAACTTACTCTTCACAATCATTTTCAAATTCATGAAAGAATTCATATTGGACAGAAAGACTATGAGTGTATTTAATATGGTGAAGCTATTCCACATTTGTGTTGTCTTCATCATCATGAAAGAATTCCTACTGAAGAGAAACGTTATAAATGTGTTAAAATGGGAGGCCTTTGCCCATATCTATATTCTTCATCATCATAAAAGTTAATACTGGAGAGAAATTCTGAGAATATAAGAAATATGATAAGGCCTTTGTATTCTTCGGTCTGCTTAATCTAAAATAACTCAAACACTAGGTTAATGCAAATAACAAAAAAAAATTATTGTCACTAGTCACTACTGAGTGATTAGTGCCACATAACACTCTTGGGAACTGAACTCTTATACACACCCAACTTTCTGAACCAGAAAGTTACAGAGATTCTGAGCTTGAAAATCATAACATATGTGCTGTTTTACAACTATTTTTTTCATCAGTCAGGATTTAGGGATATAGGATTTGTTTATGTCCTTGAGGGATATAAAATGTAGGTTTTACAGTCCAAATAATCATATCTGTTTGTTCTTTTGTGGTTAGGAAAAGATTTTATGTTTTCCCAAATAGAATCTCTTCACTTTGGGACAATCACTATGTTAGGGGAATAAAAGATATGTTATGGAACAGTAATATTTTGGGAATCAAAAATGAAAGGTTTTCAGCTATTGGGAAGTGTGCAGCTTTTCTAGGGACTATGAACTTAAATTTAGGTTTATCCTAAAATTTAGTGGAGGCTGGTATCTAAAAAGCAATACATAGGAATTAATTTTTTTATCATGTTCCGACATGCAAATTAATCTTGCATGTTTTGCATGTCAAAGTTTATTAAAGAACAGATAGCAGAGAGAAACTTTACACATGTAATCAGTGTGATAAAGCCTTTTCTTAATGCAGTTATCTCCACATACATAGAAGAACACATACTTCAGTAAGACCCTATGGATAAGCAATGTGGTAAATCATTTTCATGGAGTTGTCTTTGAAATCAGAAGAAAAACTCATGCTCCAGAGAAACCCTATAAATGTAGTCAGTATGGTAAACTTTTGCACTTCATGGTACCATTATGGAACAGTAAAAGCTTTGGTGTGTGAGCAATTTCTTAAAGCCCTTGCATATCACAGTAGTCTTTGAGAAGCTGAAAGAACTCATTCTCAAGAAAATCTGTTAGGATAAAAGATTTGTTAAGGTCTTTTACCAACTAACTTGCATTCAATTACAGGACATTATTTTGGATGAAAATTGTAACAAGTGTCAACATGTATTCATGCATTATGACATTCCATCCTTCTTTTGTTTCCAAAAGTCGATATGGAACAAAGGCCTAGAAATTTAAACTGTAAGATAACCTTCTTAGATTTCTCAATTCTCTTCAATTACATGAACTAAATCATCCAGTTATAAAATTTATGTGTGTGTATTAGTGCTATTTCTGTAACAAAACACAATGTCTGTCAACTTCCAAATGTGTTGGTTTTGCCTTATGGTTCCAGTGGGATATGGGATCTCTATGAAATGGGGATCACAAGTGTCATACATGGTGGCTAAAGTAGGAAGCTTGGAGCTCACATCCAACCTGCAGCATGAAGCAGAGAGTGGGAATTACAGATGCTATGCAGTTGAAAACTATCAAGCCCACCCCAAGTAATATACTTCCTCCAAGAATGCTGCATTTCCTAAACATTGACAAATGATACCACCAACTGAGAAGGATTCATTTCTCTGGCCTCAAAGTTAAATGTTTGATTTCTAGTATTACATGAAGGAATTCATGATGAAGAAAAACTCTGTAGATAAGCCTGTAGATGCCTCAACACCTGAGCTACAGGAATGAATGATGAAACAAGTAAAACATTCACGAGTAAACATATATTAGTTTAAGAATTTGTTTTAATTTCCATTATGTGATTTCAGTGTGTCTTTATGTTCCTGTCCATTCTGGTTTCCATGAAGAACAGACCCTTTGATCTTCTCGAATGAGGAATTATAGAAAGTTTTCAAAAACCTGACCTAGGTCCTGCAAATGAACTTGACTTAAATGCAAAGCCAAATCTCTAGTTCTGTAAATATCTTAAATCTTTATATATCATCTTGAAGTCAAGAAGTAGAACAGAATTCATAGAAGAGATCAACCATATTTGTATATAAGATTTGATGACTTTGGACATAATAAATGTATTCAATTTCAAGAAAATAAACTTTCGAATCTGTTTTTACAATAGCCTTGTAGGAAGTAAATGATTTACCATATTCACTTTAATGTAATGGAGGAGATCTCCAACTGTGGTTGTGGTCAGTATTTCAAAACATGGGAGTACGTATTGAAGTTTGCTGTATGTGTAGCAAATTCATTCACAGAAGTTTATTAGATTGTTCTGATATTCTTTCTGTGATGGCTGTTCATCTTCTAATACATTTCTACTTGGTGATAGGTATTTTTCTGCTGCAATGTATAGAATGGTATCCCCATCATCTATGTGATCCATTGCTTATTTATATCAGGCAGTGTGTGATCATAGTTTTCAAGGAAGGGTCTCTGAGAAAGCGTGGTGCTTTTTAAAAATGTTTTCACAAATTCAGTTAAGATTGTTTTCAGCCTTGCTTGAATGTCAGTAACTAGTTAATGTTAAAATGCTCAATAGTATGCGTATATGTATGAATGTATTGTTTAAAGTTCCATGCTTCTTCATGTTCCCACATCATCTTATGTCACATCATCTTGAATAACTGCCTTCTAAGAGAATTATCTAGAGGTGTTAGATAATGTAACAGCAATGAGATTTATGTTAAAAAACATTGTGTGTGTGTGTGTGTGTGTGTGTGTGTGTGTGTGTGTGTGTGTAATGGATCTTGGGTGATGACAGATATATGAAGATTGTGTGATGCTTTTTGAGGTTTATTTTCATCATTGTTATATGATGTTCAAGGTTATGTTACCAGTTTTATATACCACAAACATTCCCCCACTGAGCTCATTTGATACTCAAATAAACTTAGTTGAAACAGTCCATCAGTACAATACTGTCTTCTATTCATGTTATAAACAAATTGTCGTCTGAGGATGGAAGAAAATGATATGATTTGGATAATAAATGTTATTTGCAAATGAAAATGATTTACTGCTTTCGTGTTTTGGAATGTGTTAGTTTATTCTTAAGAGTAAAGACTTGTTCATAACACTTTCTCAGAACTACAAGTGAATGTCAGAGAATTGTCTCTGTGGGTAAAGTTGGTTGTTGCTAACCCTGATGATTTGAGCTCAATCTCTGGGTAACCTATATCACACCTACAGATTTTTGTAATATTGCTATACTTGGGTTGCTGTATATGCAAACACAAACTAGCACATACATAATTTTTCAACCTAAAAAAGGGCCATTGTGGTCACTGACCAAAACACTCTTTGGGTTCCATGTTGAAAACTCAAATAACTAGAATTTTAAGAATTATTTTCTTTATTAAAAGAATAATGGTTCCTTTATACATCTTATATTATCATTTCATTCCTTGATTCAAGGATAGGTCATTTTAAAAACATATTTCAGCTGAGGCTCAAAGGTGATCCCTGTCATCCTAGACCTGGGAGTCAGTGGCACGTCCCTGTCTCTGAGGTTGAGGTCAGCATGGTCCACAGAGTGAGTTCTTTTGCTTGTTTGCTTTATTTTATTTGTTTTTGAGCGAGAATTTGCTTGTGTATCCTTGGCTGTCCTGGACTCACTTTGTAGACCAGGCTGGTCTTAAATTTACAGAGTTCTGCCTGCCTCTTGATCCCTGAGTGCTGGCATTACATGTGTGTGCCACCATGCCCTGCCCCACAAATTGAGCTCTAAAAATAGCCATGGCTATATGGACATATCCTGTCTCTAAATGATTCCAAAAGGTAGACTAGATCTCAAATGATAGGTCTTTTCCAATATAATTGACGGGTTTCCACAAATCCATTTGTTACAGTTACTCACATCAAAAGAACTGAAAATAAGAACCAATGTGGAAAGTCCAGTCATACAGCAGTAAAAACCGATTGATTCCTTCTCCAGACATTTATCAGGGACATCATCACCTTCAAATGCTAGGAAACAAGTGGAGTAATGCAGCATCTTCATCCTCTGTATTTTAATGGCACCACTGGGAACTAGAGGGTTAGTGTTACTGCTCCTTTGTAAACCCAGTTTAATTTCTAGCACTCACATCAAATGGCTCATAACTACCTGTGTTTCTAAGTAGAGGATATCAAATGTAGTCTTCTGTCCTCCCAGAAGACAAGAAAAATTAAAATGGAGAAAAAGACACATGAACATGTGATTCTCTGGTGTAAAACATTTTCTTCACATATATCTTATTTTTTTGTTTAAAAATTAAAAGTGATTTAATTTAGGTGCATAAGTTATGCCAGTGTGTATACCATATTCATGCTTAGTATCAGTGGAGGCCAAAGAGAATGTCTGTTCCCCCATGATTTTAGTTACAGACAGTTGTGAAGTATCTCTTGCATAAGCAATGTGGTTGTGCAGCCAGCACTCTTAGGTGCTGAGCCATCTATTCTGCCCTAGGAACATATCTTTAGTGCTATGGCGTGTTTCTTGTATGCAGCAGAAATATGGATCCTTTTTTCCTGTCCATTCTGTTAACCTGTGCCTTTTCTTTAGGGACTTGATATCATTGATGGTGAGAGGTATTAATGAAGTGAAAGCTTCATTTAAAAAAGCTAACTTTAACACATGGTGAAAACCTCATTTCCACCTCCCACAGTGAGACCAAGTGCCTAGCCTAGCAACTGTATAATTAGAGGGTAGGGAAATAATGCAGTAAGATGAGTTCTTCCCTTCAGGGCATTACTGGACAAGTCTCCAGCCAGCTAGCCTTAGATTAGGCCTTAAGCTTTAATAATAGTCCCTGATTTTTAATCTTTTGGTCTCTCATTAAGACCTCCAGGATGTATTAGTTACCTTATAACTTCATCACTGATCAAAACAACTGAATAAATATGTTAATATGTTTTCAGTTTTCATTAATAATTTTTGTTTGTCATTGTTTTCTCTCTTTTTTATTTTAAAAATAATCCCAGTATGTATCTCTGGTTGTCTTGGAACTCAGTATATATCCTAGATATATCCACCTTCCCTCTAGAGTGCTGGCATTATAGGAGACATGTCACGGCTTGGTAATTCAGTTTTTTTAAATTGGCTTATTGAGGATGAATGGCTGAGCCTGAATGGTTATGGTAGTTAGTACAAGGGCTGTGGCCCTAACTCCAGTAACAGAAGAAGGCTTCCATCTAATGTAGCCCTCCTGGTTAAAGTGCACTGTCTACCATCTATGAGCAACATTGCTTTACTTTTTCATCAAGTGTATAACTCTTCTAAGACTAGGGCAGAGTGAAACCAAGACTCACAGAGATAAGTGGTTTCATAATATAGGTAAGTGTAACTGCTCATCTTACTCATCACATCATTCTATTACATCACTAAATGATGTTGAAGCCACCTCAGCCAGGTATGGTGACACAGGTCTGTAATCAAGGTGCTTAAAAAGAGGCAGGAATTTCAAGGTCACCCAAGGAATGAATGATCAGTGTTATAGTGGGAGACCTTCAGAACAAAGAGAGACAGTTAGTAGCCCAGGCCAAAGTCTGTAGTCTTCCCTGCAGGTGCAAAATTCAGAGCCATGGCACTAGCAAATGTTTGCTGAGGTATTTACTGCTTTCTCTTTTCTAATGTTTCATTTTCAAGGCAGCTTAGGTCACTTCAGGGTCAGACTCCTGTTAGTCATTAATGAATGGAACTCTCCTGCAAGTGGGGAAATCAGCCTCAGGCAGGGATGAGTTCCCTCATTACATATCCAATGGAAAGTCTTCAGCACTGAAACCATATACACAGAACCAACAGAAAGGGATTCAGGTTTAATTCGTAAATTTGCACGTAATTGCTCACATACTTATAAGAAACAATTGGAATGGAAGAATTTGGGAAGGGATGAAGAAAGGACATGGAAACCGGAAATTGATGTAATGTATTTTTGTTTTGTTTTTTATTATTTTTTATTTTTTTAGTAATAGTTACAGTTTGTTAACTTTGTGTCCCTTCTGTATCCTGCTCCCTCTTTCCCTCCCAATCCCATCCTCCCTCCCTCATCTCCTCCCTGCCCCTTTCCAAGTCCACTGATAGGGGAGAACCTCCTCCCCTTTCATCTGATACTAGTTTATTAGGTATCTTCAGGACTGGCTGAAAATTCCTCTTATGTGGCCTAGCAGGGCTGCTTCTCTCTCTGGGGTGGGGGGAGGAGGTAAAAGTACCCACCACTTTGTTCATGTCAGAAATAGTCCCTGTTCCCCTTATTAGGGTACCCACTTGAATACTGAGCTCCAATGGGCTACATCTGAGCAGAGGTTCTAGGTTACATCCATACATGGTCCTTGTTTGGAGAAACAGTCTCATAAAAGACCCCTGTGCCCAGATATAGTTGGTCCTTGTGGAACTCCTGTCCTCTCCAGCTCGTATTAACTCCCCCCCTTTTTTTTATATTCCTTTCACTCTGCCGAAGGTTTGGTTATGAGTCTTAATATTTGCTTTGATACATTACTAGGTAGAGTCTTTCAGAGGCCGTCTGTGGTATGCTCCTGTCCTATTGTTTGCTCCTACATCCAATGTCCATCCCATTTGCCGCTCTAAGTGAGGATTGATCATCGTACCCTGGGTCCTCTTTCTTATTTATCTTTTTAGGTGTATAGATTTCAGTATGTTTATCCTATCTTATAATTCTATATAAGTGAGGATACACCATGTGTGTCTTTCTGCTTTTGGGATACCTCAATCAGGATGATCGATTCTAGGTCCCACCATTTGCCTGCAAATTTCATGATTTCCTTGTTTTTAATTGCTGAGTAGTATTCCATTGTGCAAAAGTACCACAATTTCTGTATCCATTCCTCAACTGAGGGACACCTGGGTTGTTTCCAGGTTCTGGCTATTACAAATAAAGCTGCTATAAACATGGTTGACCAAATGTCCTTGTTGTGTACTTGCGCATCTCTTGGGTATATGCCTAGGAGTGGTATACCTGGGTCTTGAGGAAGCACTATTACTAATTGTCTGAGAAAGTGCCAGATTGATTTCCAAAGTGGTTGTACAAGTTTACATTCTCACCAGCAGTGGAGGAGAGTTCCCCTTTCTCCATAACCTTTCCAGCATGTGCTGTCACTTGAGTTTTTGATCTTGGTCATTCTTATGGGTGACAGGTGAAATCTCAGGGTCGTTTTAATTTGCATCTCTCTGATAGCTAATGAATTTGACCATTTCTTTAAGTGTTTCTCTGCCATTCTGTATTCCCCTACTGAGAATTCTCTGTTTAGCTCTGTATCCCATTTTTTAATCATATTGCTTGATTTATTGCTTTTTAACTTCTTTAGTTCTTTGTATATTCTGTATATCAGCCCTCTGTCAGATATAGGGTTAGTGAAGATCTTTTTCCAGACTGTAGGCTGTCATTTTGTTTTGATGACTATGTCCTTTGCTTTACAGAAGCTTTTCAGTTTCATGAGGTCCCATTTATTGATTGTTGATCTTAGAGCCTGTGCTGTTGGTGTTCTGATCAGGAAGTTGTCTCCTGTGCCAATGAGTTCCAAAGTCTTACCCACTTTTTCTTCTAACCAATTTAGTGTATCTGGTTTTATATTGAGATCTTTGATCCACTTGGCCTTTAGTTTTTTTGCAGGGTGATATGTATGGATCTATTTTAATTTTTCTGCATGTAGACATCCAGTTGGACTAGCACCACTTGTTGAAGATACTGTCTTTTTTTTCACTCTATGGTTTTGGCTTCTTTGTCCAAAATCAAGTACCCATAGGTGTGTGGGTTTATTTTTGGGTCTTCTATTTGGGTCCAATGATCCACTATTCTGTTTTTATGCTAATACCATGCAGTTTTTATTACTATTGCTCTGTAGTACAGCTTGAGATCAGGAATGGAGATGCCTCCAGACAATCTGTTGTTGTACAGGATCATTTTGGAAATTCTGGGTGTTTTTGTTTCTCCATATGAAGTTGATAATTTTTCTCTCAAGGTCTATGAAGAATTGTATCAGTATGTGG